TTTTATTTTATTACTTTTATTTATTTTAGTTATTTTATCTTTTTGTGCAGCACTTTGGAAACCTTGTGTTTATTTAAACCGTGCTATATAAATAAAGTGGATTGGATTGGATTGGAAATTCTTGAAATAAGATAATTAGAAAATATGCACTTGATATAAAACAATTCAATTGTTTTTTGTAGTTCTAAATGTAAATCATCTTGCTCCATTGTCTCATTTACCGCCTCAATTCAAGAAAAAATGCCATTATAAAAAAAAAAAATACTGGTTGAGATTTCAATTATTTGCAATGCAAATAATAATAATAATAAAAAAAACTCTTCTAATAAAAAATTTTTTTTGTCCAAGAGTTCATGAGAATTATTATAGGAATGAAACTACAGACATCAACACTTTTTGCTTTAGTGTTTGTTTATTTATCACAAGTCATTCTGTCATCAACCTGAGAACAATCTATTACCTTTATCTCTAGAAACATGACGGATCAGGAATTAAAGTTTTGATAAATAGTGTGAGAAGAACCCTGCCCTTCTAGAATGTCCTATCTGCATCCTTTAAGTCAGGGGTGTCAAACTGGTTCCAGAAAGGGCCGTGTGGCTGCAGGTTTTCAATCCAACCAAGCAGTAGCACACCAGACTGCAGTCATCTCATCAAGTGAGTCTAATCTCAACATGATGACCTGATGAGATGAATGGAGTCTGGTGTGCTATTGCTTGGTTGGATTGAAAACCTGCAGCCATACTGCCCTTTCTGGAACCAGTTTGACACCCCTGCTTTAAGTATTTAGGCTGAAGAAAGCAGATTAAGAGGAGAAGCTGCTTCAGAGAGATGCTGTAGCTTCTGACGTGCAGGAAGGTGGATCACATGCTGCTTTGGAATAGATGGTTCCAGGTACTCTGAGATTCACATCCATTCAGAAAGCCCATGTTCTTATCTTCAGGTAACACAGAGTATATGTCACATTAAATAATACTACTTCAGCGATAGTATCTAGGTGTTATTTTATTGTATGTCTCGTACCATGTCTGTTGGTTGTGCTGTTCTTTTCACATCTCTTTGCCGGCGATGAAGCAGACTGAAGATGTTGTATCTTTATCTCCCTTTAATCTCCTCTTTTTTCATCTTTTCTCCTTTTGTTCTGTTTTTCCTTTCCTGTTCTACCTACATTGCAGTGTCCAAATAATCTGTAAAACTCCCTGCATAATTATAATAAAACAATTTATATGCATAAATCAAGCAGAACACTTTGGTGATAGCCGTACTGCTCCACTTGTGAAAGTAAAATCTGTTGGGCTCTTTTTGGCATCATGACAATTATTCTTATTGCCACATTGCCAGACACTGTAAAAAACAAACAAAAAAAAACGAAGATTTTTCTGTGTTTTGAAGGAGAATTTACCTTAAGCTGCTGCTTGACTCGGTTGCGGTCCCAGGAAGATGCATTCTCTCGTATCACTTTCAGGATAGGGTGCCATTGGTCTGAGATGTCGGAGCCTTCAGTGACGGAGGCCAGGACTCTGACCCGCCGCTCGTTCCCTTTGCCCTTTGGCCCACCCCGGCCATACAGGGCCTGCTTCCCCTCATCAGTGATGGCGTTCAGGTACAGGCTACACAGGGACACAGATATACTCAATACTTTGAATTCTACTGCATGGAGATGGCAGAAACATATAAATACAGATTTAGTCACAGGATTGTGTTTCTTATAGCTGTTTAATTTTAGTTTGTGAGCAAAATACATAAATTAACAAAGTTTATTTGATCTTAAACAGTTTTTTCTTTAATAATCAATAGATATTTGCAGAGATGGGAAGTAACGAAGTACAAATACTTCGTTACTGTACTCAAGTAGATTTTTCTGATATTTTTACTTTACTTTACTACTTATTTTTA